TACTTTGTGATCAACAAACAAACTTAGGGCTGCACGATAAATCACATGTGATTGTCAGTAAAGCCGGTTCTGTGATTAATAGTAAATCTCCATCACGTGTTTTCAGATGGATACACAGAGCCTTAGTTCACTGACTATGCAATATCGCGTTCATAATTGCAGATGAGTTGCATTTGATTATGAACGCGATATTGCGTAGCTTGTCAGTGTAAGTTTTTTTATTAAAGGGGTCATATGATGCGATTTAAATTTTTCCTTTCTCTTTGGAGTGTTACAAGCTCTTGGTGCATAAAGAAGGTCTGTGAAGTTGCAAAGACTAAAGTCTCAAATCCAAAGAGATATTCTTTATAAAATTTAAGAGTCAGCCACCCCTACCTAAAACAGCTCATTCTAACACGCCGCCACATGTTTACGTCACGATGTGGGAAGATTTGCATAACGCCGCCCAAATGTTCATGCAAAGAAAGAAGACTTTTATTCTCGCTGTTGTATTGTTGTTGCAGGAAATACAACAACTTTGCACTGTGGATCGCCGGATCGGCTTTCACCTTGCAGGAAGCGGAGTCCAGCCCGGGGTCGTCACATGTGGTTGCCACAAGCCCGCCGGCCGCGCCGTTCTCAAGCCCGCCCGCCACCACTTACTCAAGCCCGCCGTGTGTGACGCTGTGTGTTTCGTTGTGAAAGCGAAACTACTTTGTTTGGCCTTCCAAAAGAGGACACGACTAGAAATCAGTGGTTAAGTTGTATTTACAGCACTGTTCCAGAACACTTCAACCCAAATATTCAGATGTGTGCAGTGCATTTTATGGAGGATTGTTTCCTGATTCTGGTAGAGTAGACTGCAAAATTTATGTTTACGTGGCGCGATGCAACGCAACGCGTAAAAAGACATGTCCCCACTGGATGCAACAAATGCCTCGTTTATAATGGGTTTTAATGTTTTTGTCTCATCGCTCCGCCGCACAGGGCATCACAATATGGTAAGGGGCGTAACATTTCCATCACACGCTTGAGGTATTCGGCCACTCACAACGCACTGGATAGCTGACCAATCACAGCACACCTCGCTTTTCAGCCCGATGAGCTTTGTAAAAATCGACACGTTTCAGAAAGGCGAGGCATAGAGGAGAAACAATAATGTACAGTATGTGCAAAATAATATGTTTTTTGAACTTTAAACCGCATAAACACATTTCACAACACAAAATAATGTTCTTTTTTGCAACATCATATGACAACTTTAAAACACCTTGCGGGCTCAACCACTGTTCCCAAAAAGGATAAAAGTCCTTCCTTAACAACAAACATTTTTTTGCTGCTTGTAAACGCCGTCCTCTGTTGTCAACAGCTCACATTGGCGAGAAAAATATATTATTGCAAAATATATCAACTACATTTGTGTTTGTGCATTTGTGTTTTTTTTAACAATGTGCATGTTTGTGTTCTTTTGTAAGGAAGACACAAAAATAATGCAATGAAAAATGACGTAGGTCTAATTTATTGGCGTATTAAACATTCTATTTATGTGAAAAGACACAAGTTTGATGCAAGTAAAAATGAAGAAAATAAAGTCTTTATTGTCGTTGTATTGTGCAAAATACAATACATTTGGGAAACTCTATCGCTGCACGCACACTTTTTCATATGCTTATTAAATAGACAATTAAACCTTACAATGCCATCCCAATGAACAAAACATCTAAATGATACAGTTTGTGTAAGAATTTTTATTGACCACCAGACAGCAGGGTAGAGCACTGTGTCAAAAGCTTCGAAGCATCAACGCAGTTTGTTGCAAAAGCCTCACTGCTTCAAAAGCCTCGTTTGGCATATCCCTTTCGCGCTACAATAATGTGCTCTCGACATTTGTCATTAAAATAACGCCATAGGACTTGGATTGATAGAAATGTTTGGCAACTCAGCTGGACTTTTACTTTAAGCAGGACTTTTATTTTATAATCCTCCATGCCGGATGTTGTAGATAGATATGCTGATGAGTCTTCGCGGTGTCAGCCCAGCAGGACTAGTTGAGCGGAAGAGGACACCGGTGGAGGGCATTACATGTAACTCCAAAATCAATAAACTCCCGTTGTCTTCAAGAGTTTCATCAACTAATCGGAAATGTTTTCTCTTTCGACTTCCCTTCAGCCACAGGTATCAAATCGCTGTTTGTTGAGTACAGCTGGTTTCATAACTTAACATGTGACGTTAACGTTACGCAGGCTAGCCTGTTAGCTAGCATATATAACAAGCAGCACTTTAATCTTAAAATTTGAGCGAATAGTTTTTGAACACCATGCTGAAAAGTCGATGGTATGTTATTAGTCTAGTCGTTGTTATTGCTCACTTGATTGCAGTGTTATTGACGGTTTCTGTTTTTAAAAATGCTATTTGAAGACATTGATATGCGTAACGTAACCAGTGTATAAACATGCATCACAACAGAAAGTTTTTTTTTTTAATAATTTAATCCACCACAGTGGACACTCTAACTAGATGGCCATCTTTAAACATCTACACAAAGGCCATAGCATTGAAATGACATGCATATAATATCCATATGTATACTCTCACACTTTAACTGATTCTATTCTAGAACACTTCATGATTATCTAATCAAAATATCAAAATATGGCAGTGTGCAGGCCATAGCATTGACTTTTATTTACTCACAAGTATCGGTATCGGCCCCCAAAAAAAACATATCGGTCGGGCTCTAATTAAAAGGTTAATTCACCCAAAAATGAAATTCTGTCATTAATTACTCGCCCTCATGTTGTTCGAAACTCGTAAGACCTTCGTTCATCTTCGGAACACAATTTAAGATATTTTTGATGAAATATGAGGGCTCTCTGACCCTCCCATAGACAACAAGGTAACTACCACGTTCAAGGTCCAGAAAAATACCAAGATGACCGACAAAGTTGATCTACAGTTGAACCACTGATGTCACACGGACTACTTTGTTGATCATCTTGACAGTAACTCGTGATTGAGCGGGCAAACCACTGATGCTAATACTCTCTAGTTATTAGCCACAGCCATATCACTCTGCAGCTCAAGACTGGTTGCCCACTGAAGCTAAGCAGGGCTGAGCCTGGTCATTACCTGGATGGGAGACCTCCGGGGAAAACTAGGTTGCTGTTGGAAGAGGTGTTAGTGAGGCCAGCAGGGGGTACTCACCCTGTAGTCTGCGTGGGTCCTAACGCCCCAGTATAGTAATGGGGACACTATATTGTCAAAAAGCACCGTCTTTCGGGTGAGACGTTAAACCGAGGTCCTGACTCTCTGTGGTCATTAAAAATCCCATGGCACTTCTCGTAAAGAGTAGGGGTGTAACCCCGGTGTCTTGGCCAAATTGCCCCCCTGGCCCTTGTCAATCATGGCCTCCTAATAATCCCCAACCACTTGATTGGCTCTATGACTCTCTCTCCTCTCCACCTGTAGCTGGTGTGTGGTGAGCACACTGGTGCCGCTGTCCTGTGGCTGCCGTCGCATCATCCAAGTGGATGCTGCACACTGGTGGTAGTTGAGGAGAGACCCCCCCCCAACATGATTGTAAAGCGCTTTGGGTGTACAACAATACACAATAAAGCGCTATATAAATGCATCAAGTGGCACTACGAAGATCGATCGGTGTATGACATCAAAGTACCGCTTCTAGAGCGGTATTATATTGTTAGGGGAGGGGCCATGCTCAGTGGCTCCAGTGCATCATCGAGACATTATTTTAGCTCTGCCCAAAAATTCCTAAAAAAAAGAATAGTGAAAAACTCAGTACTACAATTCAGTACTACATATTTCTCAGTCTGTGTAACGTGTTTTCAGCAATACATTTCTAACATTTATAATGTTTTTAGAAACAATTCTTTGAATTGCCTTTACATGGACTTTAAGTGCATGTGCTTTTTTGTGCAAGTGCATTGTTCAGTAGCCCACTTTAAGGTTTTTTTTAGCACATTTTAAATGTCTTTTGTAAAAGAAGGTTTGGATTGCCGTTTTAATGTTATTTATGTTTTTGTCCATCAGGGTTTCCTTACACGAGACAAAGGGCCAGATGTTGAAACATTGGACAAGCTCCTTAAAAACAAAAACATACCTGATGGTCAACATGATGCTTTTAAGACTGGTTTTGCAGAGGGATTCCTAAAAGCTCAGGCCCTAACACAGAGAACCCAAGGCAAGTTGTCTTTGGGCTTTCAGTAGACAAAAGCTCCATAAAACCAATTTTTATGAATTTTGAAAATAATGTGATCTAGTACCTTTGTAAATACTGTAGGTTTGTCTCTCACAGCCTTGGGTCTACACTGACTAAGGTCTATTGTAAACTGAATGGTGAAAGTTTTTCAACCTGATATGATTGTTTCTTTGTCTCTTTATTATTGTATTAAAAAAAAAACATCATATCATCTCGAATAGAATCATTAAGGAGGACACGACTGATACTATTGGTGCTTTTGCTGGTGGGCTTATATGGACTCTCAAAAACTCCTTTCTTATCAGGTAAATATTATGTAGAATCTTCTGCATGTGTGATTTGTCTGATATAGTTTATGTCCTGTGTGTCATGTCTACCAGTGTGAATATAAAAATCTGAATCATTAGTGAAAGGCCCCTTTCATGCCTTTTTTGTGGCTTTGAGAAAGCTCTGTGTAGTGCTTTGTGTGTGTTTGGAGTGTGAACTATAATGTAACCATTTCGGACAGTGCGATTCCGAACCACATCAGGCCTGGACTCAGCAGTGGATCCTGTCCAGATGAAGAATGTCACCTTTGAGCATGTGAAGGGTGTGGAGGAGGCCAAGAATGAGCTGCAGGAGGTGGTGGAGTTCCTCCGGAACCCACAGAAGTTCACTGTTTTGGGAGGAAAGCTGCCTAAAGGCAAGAACACACTTTTGCTGTAAGGCTCCAAGCCAGAACCATTTAAATGAATAGTTAAACCTAAATTCTGTTTGCTCATATGCTCATATTCTACCAAAGCTGTATGACTTTTTTTCTTCTGTGGAATACATTTTTGAAGAATTTTTACACCTACCTTCTATAACATCCAGGATAAAAAAAAGAAAAGACACCAGCAAGTCCATATGACTCGCACACTGTGTTCCAAGCACTCTGAAGTCATACTACATCTTTGTGTGAGAAAGACAAAAATCTAAGTGTCGTCTATATTTACAATCAGTGTTGGGGGTAATGCATTACAAGTAACGCGAGTATTACTAGTTACTTTTTTCAAGTAACTAGTAAAGTAACGCATTACCTTTTAATTTACAAGAGATTATCGGTGTTACTTTTTCAAATAAGTAACGCAAGTTACTTTTTTTTTTTTTCAATTTATTGATTGACAGCTCTCCTGTCCCCATGTTGAGAGAAATCAGAAGATGTTACTGTAGTTATAAAATAAATATGAATATGCATTAATTCATCTCACTCTCAAAACAAAAACAGATTCAGTATTCCTCAAAATGAATAAAAATAATGCAACTCAGAATATGACGCAAACCTGCAATAATTAAATGTTAAACAACACAAATATCCTTTATGTTTTTAATCCCATTCTATTAACCAATCTCTTTGCTTCTGACCTTCGATGATCCAGTTCAACCGTACGAACAAGCAAAAATTACTCTAGACAAACATTTGTGTGTCTTTTTTTTTTATTGGTGAAGTGTTGAAATTTCTTCTTCTGCATTCTACTATACGGGTGTAATTTTACATTTCCTTCAGCCTGAGGCTTATTCATTTCACTTTTGGTGTGAAAAGGCTTTTATATTTGCCAAAAATATAACTTTTTTTTTATTTTAAAAACAAACAAGCAAGCCCTGTCCAGATTTTAAAAGTAACACAAAAGTAACGTAACACATTACTTTCCATAAAAAGTAA